CATGGGTAGACATTTATGCTGTGCCTAGTTTTTTGCTGGTTTATAAATAGTGCTTCAGGAAACATTTTTGCGTGTACCTTTGGGGACCTGGGAATATATATTTTGAGAGGAGAATGTGTGAACTTGTAAAATTAAACAATGGTAAGAATCTTTTATTCCAATCCCCGTTTTTTTCCTTCCATCAGGAATCTTTATGCAGATGTTATGACCTGTGTCAGAAGTGGTCTCTCATTCTCCTGTCCACCCTGGTGGGGGGCCTGGCCCACAGGGAGGCAGGCAGTGGGCAGGTGGGACTAACACCCAGAAGTCCCTCCTCAGCTCTGGCCCAAGCTGACGGGAACGGAACTGCTGGTTTATTCCAGCAGAGGGGGTCAGGTCCCAGTGGATGAGGGCGTCTGCTCCAGACCCTGGGGTCTGCAGCCCAGCCACACGGCTGGGAGGTGTCAACTGTGTGTACGAGGAGTGTCGGGCCCGCATGTCCTTCCCGGTTGGCACAGGCAGTGGGTCCTCCGTGGTGGATGGGGTGACCCCACTCCCGCTTTTCCTGGAGATGAGACTCTGGTGCAGGATCTCAGGGGGTTTGAGTGGCCCCAGGGGCTCAGTGGAAAGCCTCTCTCACCCTTTCCTCCCTCAGGTTTGGCCAGGTCTTGGGGAACCAGGGGCCTGGGTCAATATTTCGTAGTTGCTGTGTCACGTCTTTGTTCGGGTCAGGAGCTCTGAGAGCATCACTTGTTAAAACCTAAGCCAGTGACTCAGGAAGATTCTTGTCTTCAGTGGGGCGGTGAGGGGCGCAAACCGTTAGCCCCAGATCTCCGGGACACGCGCTCAGACAGCCACGGACCACATTTGACGTAACATGGCAGATTGTCTTTATATCATAATATTCTATTTTCTGGAAAGAGCCCTTGTTTCTTTCCAAAACAGAATGCATGTAAAATAACAAATGACTGAAGCTACGCTATCGTCCGGCGTTGTTCTTTCTTTTTTCCCCTCTTTCGCTTCCCATTTAAATCGGGGAAGGACTGGATTACTGCGCTGCTTGTTTAACCTCCTCTCTTGCTGCTTCTCTTCCTTCTCTGGACCACTGGAGCCTCTGCCCTGGGGTCGGGGTGGGTGGGTTCCCCAGAAGAAGGCTGGTGGTCAAGGCATGGGCCTCTGGCTTCATCTCCTGGGCTGATGGGTGATCAGTGATGGATGATCGGTGATTGATGATTGATCAGTGGGGCCAATTGGCTTTCTTTTTTTTTTTTTTTTTTTTTTGGTGTGCGGGGGCCTCTCCCTGGTGGCCTCTCCTGTTGCGGAGCACAGGCTCTGGACACACAGGCTCAGCGGCCATGCCTCACGGGCCCA